TCTGATACGGTCCCACCTGATCCCTCTCCCCTCTCCGCGTTGCTCAGCTTGTCGACTTATACGAACCATTCGGACATACACGGACCTGCATGCTATTAGGAGTGTTTGTATTCTCCAGCCTTAATTTACAATGATAAAATTTTTATGTTGCATAGCAACTCTCTCCACATCAGCTTAAAACAACTATTCACCACTTTTTCCTCAAATTAATTCAAACTTATCTTGAGGATGGTAGCATTTCCTTCGCGTCACCAGATCGTCGTTGTGCTTCGGGCGTATTGCTGCTTGTGGCTAGAAGTTGCAGCACATCGTAAACCCCCACCTGCCGATCAGAATCCTGCAACGCTGACTGCAATATTTGGCGTAAAATGCCGCAAACACCGATTGATTCTGCTGAACGATCTTCGGTACGGTCCTCTGTCATCCAACGTCTATATTATGTCCCATTTGTGTGCCCCGTCTGTGCGCCCCGTCGGTACGCCCTGTAGGTGTGGGGTTTCCGGGGAAAGTTCGGAAATTCCCCTTTTCCAAGGAAGAAAAGCCAATGGTCTTATTAAAATTCAATGAGATTAATCGAAGACGCTAGCGAATTGATCCACTTCTTTCATGGCCATGGCCTCTGGGGAGGAACTCCACAATCGATCAGACGGTAACAGACAGACTCGACCTGCTGCTCAAGTGTCATCTTTACCACGACAACTACGGCTCGGATCACCGGGCTACCTTCTCAGAATGGATTCTAGACACTAAGCGTAACACCAATGCTAAGCCAAGGAAAGCCTTCGACCGAGTGGACTGGGAGAAGATTGGAATGGAGGTGCTGAGCCTTATGGGAAAACAAGGGGAGCTACATTCAGCCGAGGCGTTGGATGCAACAGTGGAAAAGCTCACCACTACGAAGGCAAGCGCGGTCGAAAAGCATACACCCGATCTACGACCTTCCCCGTACGCCAAACAATGTTTCACCGCCGACCTCAAGAGCTACCAAAACGAAGTGAATTGTCTACGGCGGAAAGTAGTCTACGCGGGGAAGAAGAGAAAGCCGGGAGGGCCAGGTCTGAGGACTTTGCAAGACGGATCAGATAACTTTTGACTCTATTCGTAAGATTTTTTTCCTCGGTGAAAGCGCTCCTTACCAAAGCTCGAGGCAAACTGAAATGGAGTAGACAACCGCAGCTGTACTTGGGTGATATAGTTAGCATGCGGTTAATAATTTTATGCAGATCGATGCGTCAGCCATCCGGAGAAATACACTGCAATTGCTATTGGCACACTCCGTAGTCAATTCAGGAATCGTTGATACTATTGGCCCCAGACAACAATGCTCTTATCCAGGGAATCAGCCGTCCTCGAGAAAGTTGAACATGTGGCTGAAGCCCCCGCAAGAGTAGCAGGTCTTAGGATGGCCACTGGGGGCTCTGTAACAACCACCGGCAGCGTCGCCCTAGGGGCACTTGTGAGAAAGACGAACGATTTCTTTCCGAGGCAGGAATGTCACATTCCAATACAAATACTCTAATTGATCATGGTGTCTAATATACATGATGTTCTTTCACTTGCACAAGGGCAAGAAGTGGCCTTGAAAAGAATTATAGGTCTTATTGGAAGCAAGATAAAAAGGGACACACGCAACACTCTATTACGGAATATAGTCTGCAGACGACGGGCGAGAGAACTTGATAAGCATGATGCTGTCCCGCCAAGGTGTTATCGGTAACCTCCCTATACGACGTTGACAAACACTTCGATCACACTGTTGAAAGTTCCGAGACCGTCGATAGGAGAAACAGATTCGGGACCATACACTTTGATGAAAAAGAGATCTATTGTTCCCCTGATCGCGACGGTCTTCGAAGAGTTCCATTGTGGGGGCCGTTTGGCTGATCAGGCCTTTTCGACATCCTCCAGAGCCAACTCTGAATGCTTCGTATCTTCATTGGCCAATCTCTTGTCGTGTACTTCAGAAACAGAGAGCGTCCGGAGTTCGGAATGGTAACCAGGGCTCTTCCAAGCCCTCGGTTCATTTTCGTAGAGCTCATTAACCTGCTCAAGGGCCAACCCCTTGGTCTCATAAATCATGGTGTATACGAACACGAATGCGATCCAGCAGAAGCTGCCCCAGATCCAGAATACATTGGACTGGGTTGGGCTGAGTGCTCCTGTGAGATATGGAGTGATGAAAGAAAGAAGCCAATTGAAGAACCAGTTCGCAGCAGTGGTCATAGAAAGACCTTTGGCACGCGTCTGAAGCGAGAAAATTTCCCCCGTGACAACCCAAGCGCAAGGGCCAAATGTGGATGCTTTGCGGATGTTAGCAAGGCCCTAGCTCATTATCGTGTTCACTTTACCGAAAAACGAGACGTATATGCAAATAAAAGCGAACTGGGCGCATTGTGAAGTGAAATTCGAGATCGGAGTTGCGGCGCCGCAAGCCGAAACGATGTATTGGGAGATACCCATCCCAATGGCCCCGATCAGAAGAACTGGGCGGCGTCCGAAATGGTCAATTGCCCAAAGGCCTGGAAGCGTCATGACTACATTGACACAGTTCACGATCACCTGCAAGATGAAAGAGTCGGGCAGGCCTTCAACGTTCTTGGCGAAGTAACTCGTACCATAATAGATGATGAAATTGATACCAACCAGTTGCTGGAGCGATTGGAGTATAATTCCAGTAATGGTGCGTTTACCAGTAGTACCCTTGAAGCATTCAATGTACGAAGCAGAGCCAAGGGACTGTTCATACTCCCAGTTGCTCTTCAACTCTGCGAGCTCGGAGATAATATCTGGATCATCGGGATTCAAGCGACGAAGGAAAACCAACGATTTCAGGGCTTCGGCTTCATCGCCTTTTTTGATCAGAAAGCGAGGGGTCTCTGGGAGAAAGAGCAGGCCTCCAGCCTTTTCCCAAGTCAGTTATGGATTCATTCGAATTGCAGTTTGCCAAGAGGGAAAAGCTCACCAGAATTATTGACCATGCGAATTGAATGGCAAGCGGGATGCGATAGCTTCCTGCGATCGAGTTAGTCTTCTTTGATCATTTATCAGCCCGAACATGCATGAGCAGATACCGCTGTCGTTCCGGTGTTGGGTTGCCCAGTTCACAATAGCGGCCAAGAAAAGGCCGATTGTGATGCAGAGCTGGTAGCATCCCACAACTGCGCCTCTGATCCATTTGGGTAGAGTTTCGGATTGGTACATGGGAACTATAAGCAATCAGCAACGGATACCTAAGCTGGGTTTCGCCGACTTAACACACCTTGGGCGGAAACTAAACCGACTCCGAGACCGGCGAAAAAGCGACCAGCAATGAACAGAGGTTGCGCTGTAGCAGCAGTTTGAAGAGCCACACCGAGATTAAAAGGCAGCATGACTGAGATGATGATTCCCCATCTTCTGCCGGTAATGTCTGCGATAATCCCCGCCGCGAGTGCGCCAACGAACGTTCCAACCGACAAAATAGAAACAATTAGGGAGATGCGGCCTTCGTTAGGATGATTGAATTCATCGAGCCAGTAGGGCATAGTCTGGATACCCGCGATGGTCCCGGTATCGTATCCATAGAGAATGCCGCCAAAGGACGCGAACAAGCCTACCAAGATGGCTGGCCATGCGGCTCCCTTTTCATTAGGGGGACGTTTGAATAACATCACCGTCGCTTAATGAGTTATCCAATTTAAAATTGTTGAACAAAGAAGGGAGAGAGATTACCCAAGTGCGATAAGATATTGACGAATGCGACAGTAGGCGCAGAGGGATAACAGTCCTAAAGTACTTAGGGGCCGGCCGTGCTAACCTGCTAACAATGAAAATATAGACTTGGCGGGAGATATTACCTGAGACGCAATCCAAGCCCTGATTCGTGAATTGCGCAGAGTCGACCTGGTCACCAAGACGGTCCGTGTGGGGTTGAATGACGCACTCCAAACCTTCCAAGAGAAAAAGCAAAAGGGCAAATTGGTGTATTCTTCGGGAGCGTGGCAATCGTGCAAGGGCCCCTCTAATGGCCCTTGCCCCTGCCATCCAGGCTTTTCAAAGCAACCAGGGAAATTGTGTGGAGCCTGCTCTGGGCACAAAATCAATTTGGGGCCAAAGGAAGTAGATGGCAAGTGTTGAACACTAAATCTACTTGATGATATCTCAGAACCTTAATGCGCCACTTAATGCATCTATTTCGACGCCCCATGATGCGGTGCATTTCGCAAATAAACCAACTGCAACCAATTTCTTGCATCATTCAGTTGCGATACGTTCGAAACCAATGGACGTCTGTACGGGCCGCGACGCTTCCCCGTGGAGAGATCCCCACACACACGGGGAGAGTTTCCAGGCCCCGCGAAGTTTCTTGGCCAGCCTGCTTTAGTCTTGGCGAGGGCATGGCTTGGTTTACATGTACCAACCAAACTTGAGAAACGCCAGAACCAGGACATCACGATCTTGGCAATCCGCTGATCCAGAATTACCGTGAAAGTTCGCAATGGAAGTCCCAGTATACGGCACTACGATAACAATGATAGCAAATTGTACAATGGGGAGCTGTACCTGCGGTTGGATGGCATGTTTTCTATGAGCTGAGTTGATTGTCATGCTCCTCGGTGAATTATCGGGGTATTCCGTGCCCACCAGGGACGGGGAGTGCGGAGACAGCCACCTTAAGTTACGTGTGGAGCAGAAGAACCTGGCCCCGGTACTTTTCAACTGTCTCAAGACTTGAGGGAACTCCTTGGATGGTTTTGTTTCTCTCGGCGAATCCTTGACGATGGACGACCACGGAGGACGCTACTCCGAGTTGGCGTGGCCCGGCCTGTTCACCGGCAGCCCGTCGATGGAGTTACCGGCCAGCCAAGGACTCGCTTCCCAATCCCGAGAAAATGTCCCGCCATGGCACTCCCGCCGTGGACGCCACCCGGGCCTGCCGGGAATCCACGTACCAGCCCCAACCTCGTGATTGGGGGACACAACCCGATTTGGGAAGTCAGTGTTACCGTCACCTCTTACATTAGTACTGGAACTGAAGAGGAGGCTTAAGAGGGCTGTGCAAATTATACAAGGCAATTGCTTTCTGTGCACATTTTACGGGTCGATATTTGCATGTATAAATACATATATCCAAGATATTTCAGCCATCATTGTGTTGCCCACGTTGCTATCTTGCTGCTCGGAATCTGTAACGAGTGCAAGTGGGCTTTAAACTGGGTTGTGGGTATCGAGTCGGTAAATTTGGCCAGTGGTGCCATTCCGGTTCCATAGGGTGAAATGATATTACAGAGGATATCGGTTGCACTGACGGCAGTATTATATAGCTTCTCGGACTATGTGAATTTGTTAGCGAGATGTCAAGCGTATGGTTGAAGGAAAGTGAGATGACAATAAACATACAAATTCAATTCCGTGGGCTTCCATTGAGCTCAGTTTCAATGATCGGCGAAGTTGAAGCGTTGACTTGGCGATGAACACAGAGTAACCGAAAGTCAAATCGGGTCGCTCGGAATATGATCGCAGGAAGCCATGATATACGCAAAGAAGCCAAACACGGTTCTGGATCCATCGCTGAGTGATGAATACGTCTGCCGCTTGTGTCTCACGCAGCCCCATGGCTAGAATAGCATTGCTATCGCCTCGGTCTCCTTGTCTGTCTCAAACCAGTCATATCCCTTGAATCTCTAAACTTGGCTGATCCTTTCTAGGCAGTCATATCGACAGTCCTTTGACCTCGGTAGCTTCCACAGCAATTAATGATATATTCGTCGATGACATCGAACAACTCCATCAGCCGAGCCAAGCCCATCATTCCCTCCGCATCCTTCTCGCTGTAAACAGTAACACCAGCAACTAGGCTGTGAGTTTTATTGTGAAGAAAGTCGTGTACGGAGCGCATGCTGAATCCTGGCTTCCCGAAAATGTTACTGGATGAAGTCGCTGGAGAGCGTATGCCCTATACAGTAGTAGTAGTAGTAGTAGTAGTAGTAGTAGTAGTAGTAGTAGATTTCATTTACCCCGACCTCTCGCTAAGTTGGATTATAAACCATATCCCACTAGGCTGGGTGCGGATTCGTATTTTAGTCTAGCTGGGAAATCAACTGGTTATGAGCCCGGATTGCACGACCTTTGAGCGCGCCGGTTCGATCCTCACAGTTTGCGTTCTTGAGCACCCAGAGCCACCAGAAGACGGCCTATGATTGGTCGCACAGCCAGGCAGCAGAGCTTCATACGCGCCCCCAGTAATTATCCGACCTAGAAACGTCTATGGGGCTTAGGGCGAAGTCGTCGCATCCAATCCAGTCGTGTTGCCTCTCGCTCAGAAACTGCTCGTTTCTTGCGCGTGTTCTTGTTGTTGCCTTTTCTTGGGAACCTGCCAGACGACCGTGGAAGTAGCGAGACAGGTGGAACATGATATCGACAACGAACGCTCGTTCGCATTGCCTTTTCTCGCGAGGATGTCAAGCTCGGCGAGTCCGTGCGAGTGTTGCGACCGGCATAAGTACCATGGCGAGTGGTCACCCTTGAGAGTGGAGGCTTGGAGGAGTCACACTGTAGTTGCACCATGTCGCAATAGGTCGCTAGTCTTGGACGGGGAGACCGGCGAATTGTTGGGGCCATTTCTATTAGAACGGTCGTGTGCCGAATGGGACATTCAGGTGGCTTGACTTGACCCCTTTTACATGTTTTCTAGACGCAGTGAAATCCCCGTGGAATATGCAATCGAGCCTAACCCTCTGCTCAATGCATCATTTTTTTGACCCTCTATTAAGTCATTCCATCTTCCACAGCCCATATCGAAAGGCAGAAATTCGCAGCATCGTGGGCCCTACCAAACAGATTCCTGTGTTTTGCCAACAAGATGTTATAATTGAAGGTATTTCACGCATAAATTGAGGGTCGCAGTATTTGCGCGCCACTCACGCATCCAGCACTATACTCGGGGAGTGAAAGCTTTACGGGACTTTCAACTGATTCTCAACGCTGAATTCATCACAAGATGTATTTCATCCAATGAAAATCCACACTCCGAAAGTGGGGCACCCCTACCCATAGGCACCACTTTCTACCTGGGCAAAGAACGAATCATCGATCCTACATTAACTTGCTATCTAGTGCAAGCGCTTTTTTTTTTCATTGTGTTATAAAATCCCACGGAATTTTTCCCGAAATTCTTTGAATGACCAAAGTACACTACAATGTCTAAAAGCAGCAACCAAAAACGCTTCCAACTGAGAAAACAATGTCGAGAAGCCTTAGCGGCTCATATATGTATTTACCAACCCCTTCTGCTGCCCACACAAGCTGATATGCCTAGTTAACCGACTTCACCTCGTCGTCCCTCCCGAACGAGTCCGTCTTCAACCGCGGCCCGAAGATGGATACGCTTGGTCTGTCACGAACGCGAATGCCGCTTTGCTCAAATCAAATCTAAGTAGTGCCACGATAAACCTTTACCAGAAAATATTGAAGGAGCTCGGTTCCTCACTCGAAGCTGTCAATCCGCATTCCAATACATGCGGCTTTCCAAAGGAGGTGAGCCCGTTGCTAGATGTCTCCATTTGTATAGCCCTTCTGACGGAGCATAAAGACCCAGGGTTTCCGTGAAGGAATAATGGATGGTTCTTTCACGGCAGAGATATGCGAGCTTAAGGCTGCTAACGGCCGCATCGAAATGGAATTGGAACGCACTCGTTCTCGGCTAGATGATTGTCTTCGCGAAAGTAATACGCTCCGGGCTGAAGCC